CTTAGAGGAATAAGGAAATGTTTCTCAGTTATGGAGGTGATAAAGAGTTTGACATAAAGAGTTACGACGATGCAAGCTTAACACCTATCCGGATAGCTCTGAGTAGAGATACCGGATACGTACAATGGAGCAATAATTTGGAATAGCTCCAAGTGGAACGTGGTAGCAGCATCTACGATATAAAGTTTTGCGAAATACATAGGGATCTGAATATGGCAAGACCCGTTGACTACAACCTCTCGCACAAGCATAACATGATCAAACCCAGAACTGTTTGAGTGTTTATCACATAGTGATGTGAACTAGATCATTGAGTCTAGCAGACTCTTGGATGTTGGTCACATGGAGATGTGACCTGTGAGTGTTAATCACATGGCGATGTGAACTAGATTATTGACTCTAGTGCAAGTGGGAGACTGTTGGAAATATGCCCTAGAGGCAATAATAAATTGGTTATTATTATATTTCCTTGTTCATGATAATCGTTTATTATCCATGCTAGAATTGTATTGATAGGAAACTCAGATACATGTGTGGATACATAGACAACACCATGTCCCTAGTAAGCCTCTAGTTGACTAGCTCGTTGATCAATAGATGGTTACGGTTTCCTGACCATGGACATTGGATGTCATTGATAACGGGATCACATCATTAGGAGAATGATGTGATGGACAAGACCCAATCCTAAGCCTAGCACAAGATCGTGTAGTTCGTTTGCTAAAGCTTTTCTAATGTCAAGTATCATTTCCTTAGACCATGAGATTGTGCAACTCCCGGATACCGTAGGAGTGCTTTGGGTGTGCCAAATGTCACAACGTAAATGGGTGGCTATAAAGGTACACTACAGGTATCTCCGAAAGTGTCTGTTGGGTTGGCACGAATCGAGACTGGGATTTGTCACTCCGTGTAAACGGAGAGGTATCTCTGGGCCCACTCGGTAGGACATCATCATAATGTGCACAATGTGACCAAGGAGTTGATCATGGGATGATGTGTTACGGAACGAGTAAAGAGACTTGCCGGTAACGAGATTGAACAAGGTATCGAGATACCGACGATCGAATCTCGGGCAAGTACAATACAGCTAGACAAAGGGAATTGTATACGGGATTGATTGAATCCTCGACATCGTGGTTCATCCGATGAGATCATCATGGAACATGTGGGAGCCAACATGGGTATCCAGATCCCGCTGTTGGTTATTGGTCGGAGAGTTGTCTCGGTCATGTCTGCATGGTTCCCGAACCCGTAGGGTCTACACACTTAAGGTTCGGTGACGCTAGAGTTGTTACGGGAAATAGTATGTGGTTACCGAAGGTTGTTCGGAGTCCCGGATGAGATCCCGGACATGACGAGGAGCTCCGGAATGGTCCGGAAGTGAAGATCGGTATATTGGACGAAGGGTATTGGAGTCCGGAAGTGTTCCGGGGGTATCAGGCTATGGCCAGCATGACCGAAAGGTGTTTCGGGAGCCCCAACAAGTGTGGGAGGGCCTCATGGGCCAAAGGGGAAGGGGCAAACCAGCCCACTAAGGGGTGGTGCGCCCCCCACACCCTTTCCCATGTTACTTGGGGGGTTGGGGCGCCTCCACCTGGCTTGGGAGGCAAGCCTCCACCTGCTTGGCTTGGGGGGCAAGTCTCCATAGGATTTTCCCTAGGGAGATCCAATCTGCCTAGCCGCCGCCCCCTAGGGGAACCCCTAGGGCGCCTCCCCCTCTCCCCTTGCCCCTATATATAGTGGAGGGGTGGGAGGGCAGCCATGACCTCTTCCCTGGCGCAGCCCTCCCTCCTCCAACTCTTCCTCCTCCTCCGTAGAGCTTAGCGAAGCCCTGCAGGAATACCACAAGCTCCACCACCACGCCGTCGTGATGCTGGAGTTCTCCCTCAACTTCTCCTCTCCCCTTGCTGGATCAAGAAGGAGGAGACGTCCCCGGGCTGTACGTGTGTTGAACGCGGAGGCGCCATCCGTTTGGCGCTAGATCGGAATCAGCCGCGATCTGAATCGCTGCGAGTACGACTCCTTCATCCGCGTTCTTGCAACGCTTCCGCTTAGCGATCTACAAGGGTATGTAGATGCACTCCCCTTCCCCTCGTTGCTAGATTACTCCATAGATTGATCTTGGTGATGCGTAGAAAATTTTAAATTTCTGCTACGATCCCCAACAAGCTCCTTTTTCAATTTTGCAACCTCTATCCCATGAGCCTCATTATCCTGGACTCTAACAAGGTTCTGCTCATGATACATATCCCAGAGCTTGCTTAAGCACCTTTGCAGAATTATAGGCCAAGGGGATCTACCCACTCCAGAATACCACAATTCACACCATCTTGAAAATTAAGTTAAATTTACAGTGAGATGTATTGTTCAGTAACAAACAAATTCAAAATAACAAATCATAGAGTAAACACTAATCATATACATAGCTACACTAGCTAGCTCTATACTAAAAATACAAAACATTGCCATGTTACATTACTATGTTTCTAGTGCTCTTTGCTACAAGTACAATATTCAGACATAGCAATGTTTTTACACTTTAGCAAAATTCAGAATAACAACAACTAAATGCTACTCTGTTTCCACTACATAACACAAAATGAAGCTAATCAAATCCATGAAAACTTGGTCCATTACCTTAGTAGCACATCCTATGAATCTCCTGCCAGTGATAGTGCCTTCAAATGCCACAAACTTGCCTGGCCTCTGCCTATGCAAGATGCAACTTCGTCAAATTCAGTCACAAGCCCACAGAAACTTGGGACTATCACAATTTTAGGAGTTTGCTGCTGCAGCAAAAACATATATATCAACTACAACTCACATATCTGAACTTAAATGGAAGAAATCCAAATTATCTTCAACCCCTAACCCTCGAATATAAGAGGAGAGGAGAGAGTGAGCTGACTTACAAAGTACTCCATCTGCATGCTGCTGAACTCGCTCATGTACTCGTCATCGTCTGAGGTCTCGTTACTGTTGGGCCACGACGACATGGTCACGGCGTCTCCGGAGTGTGATAAGAAGAAACAGAAGCAGAGGAGAGCAGAGAGTGGAGTGAGCTCGGGGGAGAGTGAGATCGGGTGGGGACGAGCGGGCCGGTCGGCCAGGTTAGTCCTGGTCCGACTAGGTGCCACCGACAGGCGGTTCTAACGACAGTAAGCGAGCGCCGTTAGCCGTTAGGCCGCCCAATAGCTTGGCAGGTGTGCCACTCATGTCAAAAGCGCGGTTAAAACGACCATGAGCTCTACTTGGTAGTTCTAGTTACAAAATTAGAAAATTTCGTAGTTTTCGGTCAGTTTTTAAAAACGGGTAGTCTTGTGGGATGGAAACCCCTAAAGTGGTAGTTTTTTTGTCAGTCTCTCAAATCAATTCATAGAGTCCTCTCTACAAGGCCTAGTGCACGACCCACATATGTTACACAAATACCAAACAATATTAATATGGGCTAAGGAAAAATCCATTGTGATCACAAAATCCTCTTTGTGAATAATTGTGCCATGAAAGAAACTGCTGCAATTTCTCAAAAAAAGAGAAAGAAACTGCTGCACCAACAAATAACTAAACCACCAGAGGCACCTATCAAAGGTATAAATTCATATTTACCAAAACGACGTGGACATCACTTTGGAAGAAAAAGAGTGATCAAAACCCATTCTTTTGGTTTCTTGCACACACAATAACCCGATTCATAGGTTTTGATGCGTAAAGCCAAATAATCCATTCTTTTTGTTTCTTGCACACACAATAATCTGATTCATCGGTTTTGATGTGTAAAGCCAAATATTTAACATCTGAATTTAGACCACAGATATTCCATCCCAAAAAACTCTAGATAACTGACGACATAAGTTCAACTTAACAGAAATAACTGAATAAAAGCTAAAAAAACAGTAGAAGCAACGCCGAAACTTAAACACCAGTGTTTCCCAGAGCCTTCATACGCTCTTCTAATAGTTCTTCAACAGGAATCCCTCACATCTTGATCCCAATAGCCTGTATAGTGATGATAGGAGTTTTATCTGGAACCATAGAAGCCGACTGAGTATCAACTTTAGTAGGCAGAGCTGAAGGGGTTCTAAGAACTGATAGGAGCAAGGGTGTCACGCTCGGAGTCTTTGCGTTTCTTAACACCAGATTGACGCTGCAGGAGGGAGCCTTGAAGCGCATAAACCTGTTTGATCGCGTGCTTGTACGAACTTCAGAAGTGTTAATTGGGGCAGTAGTAGCTCAACGCATTTTCATGGTTTCAGTTGTGTCCACTATCAGACATCCAGTCCATACTAACACTATCAGACACAGACACTGCACTGACAAGATGGAATCCGACAACACAACCCAGACCTCACTGTGGCCAGGTATAAAAGGGGAAAACGGGAACCAAGAAAGTACGCAGAACCAATCAGCTCGTTCTGAAGAAAGAAAATCATCTTGACCATCTCGTGTGAACCCCAGACCAGGCTAGATTGCAACTCACTGAAACCAAGTATAGGAGTGTGGACAAACTTGTAAAGTAGCAAAAAAAAAATGCACCCCCCATGATCCAGGTGCAAGTGTACATGCAAGTCCATACCTGAGCACGAACGAAAAAAAATTCAGAGGTCTGAAAGCCTTCCACCATATTATCAACAACAGGGTCCACCATTAAGTCATTGACACATGCTCATGGCTCATGCCAAAGTCCGGAATATTGTGCTCAGGCAGAACTCCGTCCATCATACCCTACCAAAGCCTTCAAGTTAATACCCCGATAGGCAGGAGGCACTGGTGGTAGGACTGGCCATTCCCACAACATTGTCGAGCCGGAGGAGCCATTGGAAGAGGAATGGATGATCTTCTTCTATCTCTAACTGTTTTCTTCCCTATGACCGTATCCAGCAACACATGATCTCCTTCATGTTAGCCCGCTCCGACGCTGTCTGAACCATCTACTAGTCCCCCGCGGCTAGTGACGCTCCCTCGAGCGCCTTGCTGTCCTCCCAGAATCACTGCACACCGGCATGCTGCTGCCAAGCCATCACTCTAAGCCCCCCGCCCCGTTCTTCTCCAACGCCGACAACCCTCTCCCCTTGCACCCTTACCGGGCAGCCTTCGACTCCACTCGGGACGCCGCTACCGTCACCGGCTCCTTCCTGTTCGAGCCTAGCTGTCGTTGCTATGCTTCGGTACGCTTGCCTTCCTCGCCCCCATTCCGTTTCACTTCGGGTTCGGGCCTGGATGCAAGTTGTCGACACGGGCAGGAAGACAGCGCGCTCCACGATCCGCATGACACCCCTCGAACCAATTAGATAACGCGAACGATCCCCCCCGGATCACCCCACGAACCTCGATCCCAACCGTCCATTGCACCACACATCCAACGCTCCACGCCCACCTTCCCTCCCGAAAAGGCAAAACTCACGCGCCCTCCCCTCCAAAATCCCCCGCCCGCTCGCCGCTCGTCTCCTACTTAACGCCGCTCACTCCGCTTCGTTCTCCTCACTCCAATCCAATCTCCAACCTCCTTCCTCTCCTCAACCACCCGGCGCATCTCCGACGACATGGCCCGCACCAAGCAGACGGCGAGGAAGTCCACCGGCGGCAAGGCGCCGAGGAAGCAGCTGGCCACCAAGGCGGCCCGCAAGTCCGCCCCGGCCACCGGCGGCGTCAAGAAGCCCCACCGCTTCCGCCCCGGCACCGTCGCGCTCCGGGAGATCCGCAAGTACCAGAAGAGCACCGAGCTGCTCATCCGCAAGCTCCCCTTCCAGCGCCTCGTCCGCGAGATCGCCCAGGACTTCAAGACCGACCTCCGCTTCCAGAGCTCCGCCGTCTCCGCGCTGCAGGAGGCCGCCGAGGCGTACCTGGTGGGGCTCTTCGAGGACACCAACCTCTGCGCCATCCACGCCAAGCGCGTCACCATCATGCCCAAGGACATCCAGCTCGCCCGCCGCATCCGTGGAGAGAGGGCCTAAGCTCTGTGCGTCGTCGTCTTAGCCAGATTTGTTCAGCGCTGAAAGTGTTTGTTCGTGCCATGGTGGATGTAGTATGTCTGATCTGATGTCACCATCTTGCTGTCATCAGTAATTTAAATGAAAATGTTGGCTATCTGTTCTAAGATCTGTGCCTTTTGATGCCTGTTTTCGCTTGTATGTGAGCCTGTCAGTGAATGTGATTCACCATATCGTGCATTATATTACCCCAAGTCGTGAAATTTTCTGCCAGTTTAATCTACTGTGCCTTAAATTGCTTCAAGTTTTTATCTTAAACGATGTTTTTGACTATTAAATTTCGTCATCAGTAGTAATTTTGCTGACTGCCTCTGAACCTGAATGAACAGCCGTGGCTCGCTCAGTTCTGTGTGTCCATCTGTTTTATGTTGTTTTGCTGTTTTATCCTGTTTTGGCTCCTCTGACTGCTGCAAATAACCCTCACATGTACCATGATGCTAACAACGGGTAAATCAGGATATAGACGAGAGATGTTTCTATTTTGCATTGCTCATAGAGTACATACTGTCTTTGATACAACTGTATCATACTCATGATATTGTCAACAGTGTGGTTGAAGTAGAAGGTGCAACTAGAGATGATGCAGGTGAAACTGCTGCAGATCAGGAAGGTGAATATATGTTGGGCGATATTTTCAGTAATTTAATGCTGGAATGATATCCTGTAGCGAAAGAGGATTATAGTCTCTCTATAACTGTCTTTGATCTTGTCCACAATGCTCCCCCTGCAGAGCAAAAAGGTGTGCCAGATTTCTTGTTGAATGCAACGAAGAACTATTAAATCCTAGCCAAGGTGAGAGACCATGTTTTTGCAATTCAAATTCCTTCTTTGAAACCTGTCTTAAGATCCATTTGCAGATGATTCTGTTGGCATCTAGTTTATGGTTTACATGTATCCACAGATGCGAGAGGGACGAGGAAGCTCTTGATATCAAATGGCCACTACAAAATTGAGCTAATGGGTTCTAAAATGCTTTGTTTTTTATTTTTAGCTTAAATGTTGCCCTGGCTGCTTCAAACCTCGTATTCAGTAATCTGGTTTGCTGCCTCTGAACCTGAACGAACAGCATGCTGATATTCTCGCCTTAACAGTACCAGTGTTTTTTATGTTTGGTGCACAAATTCATGTTGAAGTCATCCCTCTTTTCTAATGATAGAACAATTGTCTTAACCCTATTGCAATATATGCTGCTCATGCATTACATACTGTTTTTAATACTTCCATGGACGCCTGCCATTTCGCTAATCTTAGCATGCAGCATTACTAGCCCTTTTATCATAGGAAAATAGTGGAGTGAGTTGTGAATTTTGTGATGAATCGCTGTTTCATTGGCATCTTGTGTCTGGCACTTCGACTCGATCCCCTGCTTATTCGGCTTTGGGGGACGCGGATCCTCTGCCGTGCGGCAGGGTGCCGTTCGGCGATTGACAGGTGGGCTCGCTGTGAATCAGCCCCACATGCTAGTGTCCCCAACGGCGTGTAACGTACGTCAGGGAGCTGCTTCCGGGCTTTGGGGAGGACTTCCTTTAACTTCTGCTGCTGGTACTGCTTTCTCCTTCGCGTTTCCTTGGTTTTGTTATGATAGTGTGTTGTTCCTTTTCGAGACTAGGGTAACACATCACCATTGGCAATGTCTCGAGCCTCTTGGCTAGATGGCAGCGGGCAGTGCCAGGTGAGAGTATTTATTACTCCTGGCCCTTCACTTGTGCTGTGTGATGTTTGACTGAACTAGAATGGGCTTGCTTGTTTACTGATTCTTATACCTTGAGTTGAGTATCACGTACACGAAGCTGACTGCTGCTGCTTCTTTTTATTCAGGAGTTCAGGGTGTATTTCTGAGGGGGTCGTATTACGTACTTCTGATTGAGTTGAGTTTCTTCCGCTGTATTACTGATGTAACTTTGCAGCAACAAAGAAAAGAGCGTCAGGGTTGAGATTTGAGAAGGTAGTCACTTCAAGTCCCTGCTTGAGCTGTATGTTTGCAGAACTTTTGATTGATCATTTACATCCAAGTATGGTTAAACCGTACCAAGTTCTGTAATGACATGGAATTAGCTTGTTACCAGGATATGTACATGGAATTGGCTTGTTACAAGGATATGTACATGGAATTAAATTTACCAAGTTCGATGAAGATGAACCAATCCTAGAGAAGCCATCGCGTAATTATTGTTTCAATTCGCATGCGCTATTTGTATTATCGATTGTCCACTATTGTTTCTGTTTTGACATTTTTCCAGTACTGTAAAAACTGAATGGGTATCCTGGGGAGCGCTTGACCCAACATGTTAATAGGCCCGTCTTCAGTTGCACGGCAGTAGCAGCATGTTTGATTTTCAGAGCCCACATTCTTGTTGAAAGCATCCCTCCTTCCTTGGCCTAATTATACTGCAATCTTGCAAGTCTCAGACTGAATCACTAAACCCTGTTCAGTGTAATCTTGTTCAGTGCACAGATTCTTGTTGAAATCATCCCCACTTTGGCCTAATGATACAGCAATCCTGAGAGTGTCTGAACACTCTGAACCTTGCTTGTATCCAGGAAAGGGTGCAGGCATCCACATCGTGCCTGACATATTGGGTGCATCGCCTACTATTGCTAACGAACTGTGCTAGCACGTTCAGAGCAAAGCAAATGATACATCGAGAATTGTGCAGGCTGGTCGTTCCCGGGGCTGATTATGCTCCATAATGTCAACGAATCGTTGGCCTCGATTTTGGTCAGAATATGATGTTCTTCCTTGGGTTGGCACTGTTGAAACAGCACTGGTTGCTCGGTGCTCTGTTCTCAATAGTTCCTTGTTTTGTTTTAACGGAGTTCTCAATAGGTTTGATATCATGGAGGGGTGCAATGCTTGGGTAGGGTAAGACTGCATTGAAGAAAAACAGAAGGAATGCCCCTTAGAGATATCTCTCTCTCTCTCACACACACACACCACACACACCACACACACACACCACACACACACTACTAGAAAAAGAGCTATAGATGTGATTGATACTAATGGCGCACCAGATAAGCGGTGCGCCATTAGTATATACACTAATGGCGCACCACCTACTGATACGCCATTAGAGTTGAAACTACTAATGGCGCACCTGGCCCCGGGTGCGCTATTAGTATCAATTTTTTTTAACTAGTGCGCCTGTCCAAACATACTAATGGCGCATCCAGACACAGTGCGCCATTACTAGTTGTAACTAGTAATGGCGCACCTGCCGGAAAGTGCGCCACTAATGTTGTTTTTTTATTATATTTTTTATTCCCTTTTTTGCAAAACTACTAATGGCGCACTGTTCCACCGTGCGCCATTACTAGTTTGGGACAGTGCGCCATTAGTATTTTTTTTTTTGCAAAACTACTAATGGCGCACTACCAGGAGGTGCGCCATTAGTAACCTGGATTACTAATGGCGCATTTAGAGTTGGTGCGCCATTAGTAAGTGGGCAGCAACAAGATATTTTGGACAGTCTCTCCTACCCACACTCACTTTCTCCCCACTTCATTCTCTCCACCTCAACCGCCGCCGCCGACCCCCCGCACCCCTCCCCTACTCAACCGCCGCCGCCGACCCCCCGCACCCCG